TCCACGCTTTCCCTAATTGTAATGCTAAATATATTCTAATTAGTTGAAGTATCAAGACTAATACTACTGATGCGTTCCGCAATGACTACACTACACCCACTCAGGTCTGTAAGAGTACCTCATCTTGCGAACTATGCAATCCCAAACAGAAACAACAGGAGCCAGCATGAGAGAAAATTCATACGCACTCATATGCCTTGGCCTCATTCTTCCTAACTTCCCACAACCCTTGCACTTGCCCATCCTGAAAAAGCCAACAGATCTACAAGACGATTAATAAATCCGCACGCTGCAATTACACTCTTGTTCAGGTACACCCTTCCCAACTGCAGAGTAAGCTACATAGAGCATGCGAATCATCAAAATCTGAAAGTGCTCACAAAAACAAAGAGACACTACTCATTTACAAATAGAGTATGACATGAAGCCCCGAGAAATTAAAAAAAATACAGAGAAATAGAAGGCCAAGAAGAAACACATAAATCAACAATTATATGAAAGAAAATGTCCCAAGCACTAATCAAATTTCCCTGTTAAATTAGACATCTAAGACTAAGAGATTTGCACAAAGATATAAACGAGACACAATCAAGTGCACAGAAAGATAAGTAGGAATTTACATGTTTGCACCAAAATAGGAACAACTAATTCTAAATTTTCCGTATTAAACATGGTTTGACTAAACAATTCAGAAACAATGCATTTGTATATATTTTAAGACTAACAAAATTATTTTATTGACTAAAAAATAAAAAACAAAACAGCAACATTACTAATCAAGTTAAAGAGCAAATACTGCATCAAGTTCCCTAATAACTTGGTTGAGGAATAAAAGGTGTTGGCAGGGATTAGAATGTATTTTAATAGACAATAGTTACGTTACATACAACATATTTCATTATCTCAGTCCTAAATAAACAACAAATAAATGATTCAAAAAAAGTAAGCACGCTGTCCTTATCACATCGATCAAGAATCAAACAGACTAGTGTCCACAGTGCTTCAACCAAACATGCACTATAGATGCTAATAGCCAATTCATTCTAAATTCACCACCCACCAATACCACACCCACCTAACAGCCTAAACCCAAAATGAAATAAGAATCACTAGAACAGTTATCTTGCTTGTCCTTTCAGGACTTAGATAATGTATAAACAAGAATAATTACTTGCCTAAACAAAAACACTCACCAATCATGACGCTAATAATTTATCTTTACTGTGATTGTTTTGCTAATTTTCCATTTAAGAGCACAAAACTCCATTTTATCTCCCCCACAATTCTATTTTCAACCAACCGTAAACTAACAAAACCATTACGACCAGATCCACCCAATTAAGAAGCAACACATCAACAAACACAATTCAAGTGAAATCCACAAACACCCCATCAACAAAAACCACAAGATCTACCCAAAACACCTGAATCAATCACTCCACCAAAGAATTCAGACCCAGATCCAAAATCCCATAAAATTCTCAATACCCATAATTCATCGAAAAAGTAGAACAAAACCCCACAATCAAAATCACATGAACAACCATAAAAACGCAAACTTTGAATCAGAAAACGATAAACCAAACCTGTGGGAATGGCATAGAGAGCAAGAGAAGGGTTGAACCTATCACAGACACAGTTGAGGAGTGAGATAAAGCTGATGAGGCAAAAGGGTAGTTCCTAGTGACGATGGAATTGGTTGGATCTGAAGGAAACGTAGGTGGGTAAGGAAAGAAAGTGAAAAAGGTTTGTGCTTTAAGAAAGAGAAAACGGAGAAAAAGAAAGAAGGGAGAGAGATAGAGAGAGGAACAATAAAATAACCGATTACACAAGAAAGGAAAGGGGGCAGTCGTGTGAAGGACGAATGAGAAACCGACACGTGGCATATAATGCCGAAAGGGTTCTCTAGATTATCTGACTTTTCTTACGATGACACGTCGAGCGTGGGACGGACACGAAAGTGAGTCGTGTGCTGCGAGTGATGGAGCACGTGGCGTTATCTTTCATATGTTCTTGTCTTGTGTAGGTCCCTTCTATTGGACAAATTTCACTACTCTTTTTATACTAGTAATAAATTATAATAAATCTTGATAATGAATAGTGAATTTAATATAGTTTAATTATTCATTAAAGCTTTGTAATCGTTAATTTTACGTTTTAATTCTTATATTTGTATTATTTGTATTTATATTTACAAACTACTCGTTTTTGTTTTATACTAACATTTTTTGTTTAGTCTTTATCAATATTTTTTTTTCCTTTCTTCTTCCTTCAACTTCTTCTCTCTTTGTTTCTTTTTCTCACTCATCAACACCTTCTTTCCTCTTTTTATTTCATACAATATGTTTCTTTTAAATCCTCTTATATTAAATGATATTTTATTGATTCTAGAATGTAGAGTCCTTGTGGTGATAGAGTTTAAACGAGCTTCTTGATAAAGACAAGATAAATAAAGTTGTCAAATAAATCAAGATGAAGTATCAAGACAATATTATTGAAAGCATGTTGAACCATATTTCTTATATATCACTTATTTTGGAGAGTAATTTGACAAAACAAATTAAATTGATCCACGTGAAGTTTTATTCAAATTTTAGAAAAGAAAATAAAAATAATATTGGACATGAGACTTATTCGCCAAATCTTTTGAGTCATTTTTTAGAAGATAGGTTGAATATTTGTAACAATGTTACAAGATAGTTTACAAATAATAATTTGTGTTGACACTCTTTATAATAGCAGGACCTACTACATTTTTTTTAATTTGAATACATCATTTTTTAAATTACATAATGTTTAATGTAATACATTTACTTTCAAACTTTTAGTGATTTAACATCAATCAAACAAATTTTGGTAATTTTATATTGTTATTTTTGATTTTGAAGTAGTGTTAGAGAATATAAATTAACAAAATTATGTGTTAATTGATGACAATGACTAAAACATTAAAAAAAAATTGCTCTTATTTTAGTGACATAAATACTCAAACATTTAATGTAAGAAAAATTCAATGATGTAGTGATGCAATCCTTAAAGATAAAAGATTGATGTTTCCTCTCAAGAATCACACATCCAAGATGCAACGTTCCTATGCTCCACTTAATGAACAATTCAGATCAAACAATAAGAAACAAGAGGATTGGCGTGGAATTGAAAAGCTTCACAGATTGAAGCAAGCAAAGTGAACCAAACTCCACAAGGAAGGTTTCCTTGTTGGGGTCTTCAAGGAAAGAAATTCTCCACGGAACCAATGACCTTTAAAAGAGAGAATTTTCTGAAGTAATGTTCTCATAAATCTCAAAAGTGAGTACAAGTGAAGTGTGAAGGGTTTATATCGAAGCTAGGTGAGCAAAGCTTGTGTAGGAAGCTTTGGCGCCACCATTTGAAATTGAATTGGTTTGGACAGATCCCCCACATGCCTTGCATCCATGCTTCCAGATTCATGCACTTGAATTTGATTTAAGATACATTTAGGTCACATTAGGCGTCCCATGTGCTCTATGTGCACATGGTCTCCTAATTAACTCTAAATGTGTCTTAAAGAAGAGCTTAGGCCCAAGTAAATAAGAGAAACAATTCATAAGAAGTCACCCAAGTAAATAAGAGCTTAGGCCCACCATCCTCCCTATTGGCCCATCCTTCATGAATCCTCCTTGCCATAACTCAAGTAGTAGGTTCTTTGGCTAGAAGTCTTGCATCATGTAGTAAGTCTTTGCCACTGCAGGTGTACTAACATAAATCACTACTGATAGACTACATCATCTTATATTAGAAGTTTATTTGAACTCTACAATATTGAGAGTTAAATTTAATGTTAACGAGAAATAGTCAATGTAAAATGATTTTAAAGAAATAAAGTCCACAAAAATAAAAGGAGGAAAGAGGTGTTGATGAGGAAAAAGAAAATAAAGAAATAAATAGGACAAAGGAGAAGGAAAAGGACGAAGAAGAGAGTGAAAATGTTGATATGGACTATAACATAAAAATATTTTTTTATATGGGAATTAAAATGATTAATTTCTAAATATAGGGACTAAAAGGAAAATATTATGTAAGTATAGAGACTAGAATGTATAAATAGTACTTTTTGAAATATTAAAAGTATAGTTCCAAAAAAAATACTTTATCAAAGAGTAAAAATATACTTTTGGAAAAAAAACTTTCTAGAATAGTATAATAAACCTACTTGTTTTAAAAAAAAATCTTAAAAAAAATGTCCTTCTTAATAAAATAAACAATTTTATGATTTTTAGTATATTTCTTTAAGTTATTTTTTTAAGAAACAAATTATTTCTACTTCTAAAAGAAAACGTTTCTTTACGAAATACTTTTTTTAATAATTTTTTTAAGTTCAAACAATCTAACTCATTTACTCTTTTAGAATGTATTTTCTAAAATTTTGTTTTTACTCTTTTAAAAAGTAATTTTTGAAAGAATATATATATTATTCTAATAATTGTTTTCTAGAAGTATATTTTAAGAAGCATAAAACACAATTCCTTAAACTAATTTTTTAAAATAATTAAAAAACATGTAATTTTTAGTTGATCATACATCATAAAACAATGGATCATATCTTTTAGATAAGGCCTTCAAAAAAATCTATAAAGAATAATGAAGATGGGGGATGAGTGTCTTAATTACTAAAGAGAAAAAATTGAGAAAGAAAAAGTAGAAAATAAGAATCAACAAGGAGTATTTAGAAAGATATAAAGCAATGGAAGAAAAGGTGTATGTTAAACCCCCAAATTGATGCATTTTACTATGTTTTTAATAGTTGTTTTGCCATGTTTATAATCACATTCTTTGACATATTTCACTTCTTTTGGTTAAATAAGCAACACATAAAAAGATTTAGAAGAGGGGAATAGTACAAATAAATTCCAAAAAGATGAAAAATTAAGCTAAAGAATTATGCACAATCGTACTTGCATGAAGCACAATCATGTTAGAATGAAGCACACCCTAATCTTGAAGATACATGTCCATGTTGATATGCACGGTCGTGCTTACTGAGATGCACGACCGTGCTTTACTCAAAGTGCACTCTTATTTGATTATATGCATGACTGTATATAAAGGGATGCCCTAATTTCACCTATAAATAGGGATGTCTATGATACATTTTTTTTCATTCAATTTTTAGTTTTAGTTTTAGTTTCGTACTTTTTCTTTTCTATATTATTAGTTCCTGATTAGGGTTCTATAAAAGGCTAAGAGTCACCCTTGGAGAAGGATTCTCCCCTTCTACAATTAATTTTTTCTATATTATTGAAGAGGAGACCATTGAACTAGAAGTTGGATGTAGTGTTATAATACAAAAGTTTTTGCATGTCAAATCCAAGGATCCTAGTAGTTTCACACTTCCAACCACTATTTAGAGTTTAGCCATTGGGAACGCACTACTTGGCTTAAGGACTAACATCAATCTTATGCCTCTAACCATGCTTCAGAGGATTGGTGATTTGAAGGTTAAGCCTGTGACACCCTCTACCCCAACATACATATACAATAATTTGTTTTTGCATGTGAATTGATTGCAAATTAATATCTAAAGGAAGAATAGCATCATGCCCATATACCAGTTTGTAAGGGGTAGTCTTCGTGGCATCTCTAGGTGAATTCCTATAAGCCCATAGTATTTGAACAAGAGTTTCATGCCAATTTCGAGGCCTGTTTGATATATGTTTTTTGATTAAACCAATTACCACTTTATTAGCAGCCTCGACTTGACCATTTGCTTGTGCATAATATGGTGTTGAAGTTATTAGCTTAATTCCTCTAGACTCAGCATATTGAGCAACTTTTCGACCTGTAAACAGTGTGCCTTGATCAGTAGTGATTGTTTGAGGAATCACAAACCTTGTAATAATATGATCTTCGACAAAATCAATTATGTCTTTTTGCTCGACTTCTTTTAAGGGAATAGGTTCAACCCATTTTGTCAAATAATCTATGGCAACCAATATATATTTATGATTTTTCGAAGAAGGTGGATGTATTTGCCCTATTATATCGATTGCCCAACCTCGAAATGGCCAAGGCTTAATAATCGAATGCAGTTCACTTGCAGGTACCTTTTGTATTGGCCCATGTTTTTGACATTCTTCACAGCTTTTTGCAAATTCGATACAATCTTTAATCATAGTTGCCCATAAAAGCTTTTCCTCGATAAAACCCATTTCATCTTTTCACCTACTTGATGTGCTGCACAGATGCCTTCATGTATTTCTGCCATAGCTATATAACTTTCATGACTTCCAAGGCATTTGAATAAAATTCCATCGAAACCTTTTTTATATAATTCATTATTCAGCAAGACATAATTGAGGGATTAGAGTTTGATTTTTCTTTCGACTTTCAAATTGGGATTTTGCAAATATTCGACCAATTTGCTTCTCCAATCTTGTTGGCTCGAAGAACCAAGACTTAGAACCTCTAGATGGCCTATCAATTCGTTTTCGGTATGAATCAGATACTCGAGACATTCCTTACTTACTTTATACCCTGATGCCATCTGAGCCAATTCATTCGCGATGATATTCGAGTCTCGAGGAATATGTTGTAACTGGACTTCATCAAACGCGTTAAGTAACTGCACAACTCAAATTTTGAATTCAATTAATTTTTCGTTTAAACACTTGTACTCTTGAGTTAACTGTTTGATGACCAGTTGTGAATCACCTCGAATTAATACGTTCCTAGCACCTAGCTCTTTAAGAATTTCGAGTCCCGTTATTAATGCCTGATACTCAGTTTCATTGTTCGAGTATCCTTTATACGTTTTTAATGACA